AAAAGAACCAACCATTAATTTTGTTATTTTTTATTTTAGCTCAATTTTATTCAAAAAGACGAAAAAACCAATACATTTGTAAAAGTAAATCCAATTCACTACCAAGCATTGGACAATTCAATCAGATTTTTCTCAATGGGTTCAAGAATTCAATAAAAATAAATAAAATAATTTTATTATAAAATGCCTTTTTCGTGCCTTTTTTATGAATTTCAGTTAAAAGTTTTTTTTTTTTTTTTATGGTTTTTTTATTCGCCAAAATAAAGTTTATATATTAAATAATAAATATTATTATTGAGCAAAATATTCTTTCTATACAAAAAATAAAAAAATAAAAAATATATTAAAGAATAAAATATAAAAAAATGATGACAGTTTATCTTTAACCAAATATGTATTAGTTTTTATCTAAAAAAAAAAAAAAATTAAAAAAAAAATTAAAAAAAAAAAAAAAAAAGTGTAGAAGGATGAGTATATAGCATGTCTCTGCTCTAATATCGCATAAATAATAAATTTAAACCATATACACATATAAATATATACATATAACACATAAATATCAATAAATATTTCCATATAAATCAAAAAAAAACACTTAAAAAAAATAATTTTTTAAAATAAAATAAAATTTAAAAAAAAAAATTTTAATTTTTTTTCAATTTTTTTTATTTTTTTTTTTTTATTTTTTTTTAAAATTATAAAAATTTTTGTGTTTATATTATATTTTATATTATTGTTTATAAATATAAATAATATTATTTAAGAAAAAAAAACAATAAAAAAAAAATATCCAATAATACTGTTATAGTATTGGGTTCATATTAAATTTCATTTTTTTTTTTTTGTTTTTTTATTAAACAATAAATAAATAATAAATAAAATACACAATAATTTAATCACAATATAAAAAAAGAAAATTTTTTTTTTCTTTTAAAATATAAAAAATAAATAAATAAACAATTAATAATTTTTTATTTGTAATAAAATAAACTATATATATATATATAATAATTTTTAAAAAATAATATATTTTCTTTTTTTTTTTTTTTGTTATTTTTTTAGAAAAAATTTAAATATATAGCATATATATAATAGGAATAAAAGTTATTGAATATTAAAGCAGTAACAGAATAATATATAACCAAAGAGAAATTAAATTATTATTATAGTATTAATATTATAATAGTTAGTGTAAAAGATGGAAATTTTAAATTTATCGGTAGAATTTCACGTACCGGATGGTGGCACTTTAAAAAAGATTGTTAGGGTCGATAACTCGACCAAGGTTGGTGATATGGCACGTTTACTTTTGGATAAGTTTGGTAGATCAGAGTTTGACCCATCACAATTTCAATTAATAGTCCCAACCAAATCATCAAATATTCAGTATACAGCTTTATCAGATTTAAATAAATCGTTATCAAGTTACAATATTAAAAATAATGTATGTAGCACTCGAAATCGAGATATTTTAATTATAATAAAAAACAATTCTCTAATAATAAAATAATTTTACATTTTAAAGGATGATTTAATTTTAAAGAAAAGACAAAAGAAATCAAATCCAACAAGTGCAAAATTAGCATCAAAAAAGAAACCCGAAAGTATTTTTAAAACATTATTTTCAATGTCAACACTTGAAATGAAATTAGGCGATAATGATAAAGTTACCCCAGAAATTACCGAAGTCGAAAATCAAATTGACGATTTAACAATTTTATTTAAATCATTTGAATATTTAAATAATTATTTTAATCAACACAAAGGTAATAATATTAAAATTTTCTTTTGCATAAAGTTAGAATATTAAAAACTAATACTTTTTTATTTTATCTTAGAAATTAACGATATTTTAATAATATTTCAATATAGCGGCAGCGAACAAGAAATATCAGAATTGGTAAAATCCACTCTTTCAAACCAAACATCATCATCGTATGACAGTGTCGATATAACACAATATCAAAAAAATCCAAAAATTTTAGGTAGCTTTATTTTATCATTATTACAAGTTATATTTTCACAAAATTCATCATACTCTCTGTACACTACATATTTAAAATCGACAACATCAGCAGTCACAACCTCCACAGATACTAGATCAACATATTTTTACGAAATACCAATCAAAAATAGAATTATTTTAAAACATATCATGCTGTTTTTATATAATTTATCTCAAAGAGATTCAAATCTATAGAGGCTTTATCAAATATTATTGGTCCATTCATATTGGGAAATGTTTTATTAGATCCACCACCACAAACAAATTCACCAGCTTTATTAGGTGTAAATAATCTACAACAAACAAATATTATAACGGCGAGCGGCAGTAATTTAGAAAATAGTAATAATAGTTTAACCAACTCAATCGGGGGTGATGAAAGTCCTGATTTTACTTTAAATATGATGAGTGGAAGTGTCGGCGGCGTAAAAAGAGAAAATAGTGGTAGTTCATTGTTAAATATAGGTTCGATTGGTGGTAGTAACTCAATAATTGGTGGAACAATAATATCATCATCATTACCAACTCACCATCATTTTCAACTACTACAACTACACCAACCTTAACAAATATATATAATACACCAACACAATCATCGACAACAGCACTAAATCATTTAAGAAATCAAAGTAATGATAATAATAATGGCAGTAATAATAATACCAATAATAGTAATAATAATAATAACAAAGACTCAAATAGAATACTAAGCCAAACCGAAAGTTTACTTTGTAAAAAGGTAGCAAGTGATTTAATTCAAAATATACCTTTATATTTATTATTTTCACATTTTAAAATATCACAATTAGATGGTGAAAAGGTCTTATTCTCATCAGAGAATATTTATTGTATAGATAAATGTAATTTTCCTCCAAACAAAGCTTATCTTGGCGAAATATGGGTTACAAATTTTAGAATCATTTTTGTAAATTCAAAAGATAACCAAACTTGTCAAATACCAAGTTCAACATCATCAAATTCAATTTCATCTTTAGCTTCAACCCAAAATATAAGTATACTGTCTTTAATGTCACAATTAAATAATAGTCATCACAATCAATCTTTTAATTCAAGTAGCAATAGTGTCAATAATACATCATTAAATAATATAAACAATGTAAACAACAACAACAACAACAACAACAATAATATAAATAATAGTAGTGGTAATATAAATACCAATGGTTCTAGTAATAATAGTAGTACACCATCATCATCCACATCGAATACACCAATACCAACTTCACCAATTCAAACTAGTGGTAGTTTTTCAAGTTCAAATAATTTATTAGCAAATGTAAATAATAGTAGTTCGAATAATTTATTAGGTTTAACAAATAATAATAGCATGAACTCGAGTATTAATTCCAGTATGAATAATTTCAATAATAATAGTTACTATAGTGGAGGTAATAAATTATCAACACTCGATAACACCGAAATACCTTTATCAATGATCTATAAATGGAAATCCATCAAAACGGGTCAACTTTACGATTCTTTCAAGATATACTGTAAAGATTTTCGTTGTAAAATTATTGGTTTCCCAAGCAGCTCTCCTTACCTATCAAGATTTAGAGATTTATTAACCAAATGTTCAATTCCAACCTTAGATACCATTTTTGCATATGGTAGTAAAGAGAATAGCTTTTCAAATACAGAGTGTTTCCCAGATACTGAGTTGTTAAAAGAATATAATAGAATAGGCGTATCATGGGACCATTGGAGAACTACAACCATTTCAAAAGTTTGTGAAAGTTACCCAACTCTTTCTGTTGTTCCAAAATCAATTAGTGATAATGTTGTAGTAACTTCAGCATATTATCGTAGCTTTGGTTTTCCAGTTTTAGCTTGGTCTCATCCAACTCAAAAATCAAGTATCACCCGTGCTATTTCACCAGATGATCAAAATAAAAATAGTAGTAATTATTTATTAAGTCCAAACTCTCCAAATAGAAATTCTTTTGGTACCTCTGGAGGTAATAATGGTAGCACTTCAAATTTATCAAATAATAATAATAATGGTTTAAATAGTGATAAAAGTGGAAACAACATGAATGTTAATCAAATAGGTCAACATTCGCTGTCGCAACCAATTTTACAATCACAACAATCCTCCATTGATATTAAAAACAATAGTTATTCTTCATCCAATTCATTATCTTCAAATGTAAATAGTTCAGGGGGTATTGTTCACAGTGGTTCAAATAATAATGTATCATTAGTTTCACCAGTAGCCTCACCAAGATTCCATCAAACCATTAGTTCATCATCAATACCTCAAGTTTGTCAAGAGGATATTGATTTCTTAAAGGCCATTTTGGATATTAAAAGTAGTAATATGTTAAATGTATTTGATACAGGAAAAAATGGAAGTTATTCATCAACAATGATTGGTTGTCAAATTGAATTCCTTAATCTTTTAGCACCATCAAAAGTTAAAGAAAGATTTAATAAACTTTTACATCTTCATCTTTACCATCCAGACTCTGAGTGGAGTGAAACTATTAGATTCTCTTGGTTGGATTCCTTAAAGCCAATATTATCAGCTGCTATTAATATAGCGATGCATGTTGATCAAGGTAGATCAGTCTTAATTCAAAATTCAGGTGGTCCAGATTTAGATCTTTTATTATCATCTCTTTCTCAATTACTTTTAGATCCATTTTACAGAACATTGGATGGTTTCAGAGTATTACTCGAAAAAGAATGGTTGTCCTATGGTTACCCATTTTCAAAGCGTTGTCATCTTAAAGGTAATGATGATTCATTCTCACCAATTTTTATGCAATTTGTTTTTATTGTTTGGCAAATTTGGAAAGAGTTTCCATCAAGCTTCCAATTTAATGAATATTATCTCTTAATATTATTGGATAATGTTTACAATAGTAGATTTGGTACATTTTTATGTAACAATATTAAAGAAAGACTCGAGAATAATGTTTACACCCAAACCAAATCATTCTGGTCTTTCCAAAGCCAAAACCAAGAAAGATTCACAAATTCATTTTACAAATTAAAGAATAGCAGAGATCCATTGCCTCCAGTTCAACACCTCAAGTGTCAACGTGTATTTCAAGATACTATGTGGAACGAATATTTCTATCGTTATTGTTACAAATCATCATTGGCTATAGAACAGTTTGAGGATCGTATTAAAAGTGCTTTACTCGATGTTGAAATGACAGTTAATAATGCAATTTCAGCACCAGCCTCAATATTATTACCTGGCTTGGAAAGTTTAGATTTATCTGGTCTTAGACTCTACTATTTACCATCGACCTATGACTCAACTTTATATCACCTAACCGGCTTGAAACAATTAAATCTCTCAAAAAACAATTTAAACTCTATAACATGCAGTCTTTCAAGTTTAGTAAATTTAGAGCGTTTATCACTTGAAGAAAACCATATAACAAATTTCCCAATTGAAACTATCCAACTGCTCTCTCAAAAACTTTTTTCTTTGAAGGAATTAAACTTATCATCGAATCAATTAATAGATTTACCAAACGAATTCTCATTATTTAAAAAACTACAAAAGCTTTCCCTTAAAAATAATAGATTCTCTACAATCCCAGAAGTTATCAACCATTTGGAAAATTTGGAAGAATTAGATTTATCAGAGTTAGACCTTTCAACCAACCAAGTAGATAATGGAATTCCAACTAAATTAACAAATCTTAAAATTCTCTTATTAAATCAAACCCACATCACCGAATTACCAAAGGAAATTGGTGATCTTAGAAGCTTAGAAAGATTAGAATTGGATTTTAATACTCTTACCAATTTACCACACTCTTTTAGAAATCTATTAAAACTTGAAGATCTTTCATTAGGTTTTAATACTTTTGTTGAAGTTCCAAGAGAAATTTGTTTCCTTGTCAACTTAAAACGTTTAATATTCGAGGGCAATCAATTACAATTCTTACCAAATGAAATTAGTCAACTAACCAAATTGCAAATCTTGAACCTGCGTCAAAATAAACTTGATACATTACCAGCAAGTATCGGTCAGCTCATAAATTTAACTAGTTTAAATCTTCATAACAATCAATTGGTTGCATTACGTCCAACTATGGGTTTATTGGTTAATTTAAATGAACTTAAATTAGATGGCAATCGTCTTAAAACTCCTCCACCAGAAATTGTAATTCAAGGTTTAAAATCAATTTTACTTTACTTAAAAGATTTAATTAAAGGTCAAGAGCAATGTTATAAAATGAAGCTGATGATTGTTGGTCAAGAAAATGTTGGTAAAACTACTTTATTAAAGACATTAAAAGATAAAAAAAAGAAAGCAGCAGGTGGACCAAATATTTCAACTGATGGTATTGCAATTGATAATTGGGTTTTCTCTAGTATATTCGAAGAGATAGATGATAACAATCGTATGGTTAAAAAGAAACAAGATATTACTCTTAGTATATGGGATTTTGCAGGCCAAGAAATTTATTATACAACTCATCAATTTTTCCTCTCTGAAAGAAGTGTATATATTGTAGCCTGGAATTGCGCATTAGCCGAAGAAGAATCAAGAGTAGAGTTTTGGCTTCAATCAATCACTACTCGTGCCAAGGATGCACCAATTATTATTGTTGGTACACATTTAGACGATGTTAATAGAACTACCGCCAAAATGCAAAAGAGACGTATGAAAGAGAAATACATGAACCGTTTCCATAATATCAAAGCTATTAAATTAGTCAGTTGCACAAGTGGTAAAGGTATTACAAGTCTTCGTGAAAAATTAGAGGCATTGGTTCAATCGCAATCAAATATGGGTGAATCGTTACCAAGATCTTACATGCTATTAGAAAATCTTGTTAAAGAGGAAACTAAAAAACGTATTATACCAACTATTCCATGGAATGAATTTATTCAAATGGGTACAATTTGCACAATTACAGATGAAGCAGAATTACTTAGAGCCACAATGTTTTTACACCAATTGGGTTCATTAGTGTATTTCCCAAAAGAGCCTGGTCTTAAACAATTTGTTATTCTTGATCCACAATGGATTACAACTATGCTCTCGTCAATTATTACAACCAAACACTCATATGCCAAAGATGGTATTTTAATGCACAAGAGTCTTAAGCAAATTTGGAGACCACCACAATATCCAAATAATCTCCATCCACATTTAATTTCACTCTTGGAAAAGTTTGAAATCTCTTATAATCTTTCACATGACAATAACTCATTCGAAACAGGAATGAGTTTAATTCCATCATTATTACTCAATGATCGTCCTGCTATATTCCCATCTCTTTGGGGTCCATTTAATTCAAACATTCAACAGTTTGGCAGAGTTTATCAGTTCGAATTTGTACCAAATGGTTTCTTTTCACGTTTAATGGTTAGAATTTTAAATTTTGCTCGTGTCAAAGCCAAATGTTATTGGAAGAATGGTATGATTTTGCAATATGACGAAGAAACCATCTTTTTAGAAATGAACAACGCAAAGAAAACTCTCTCATTTACTGTTAGAGGCGGAGTTAATTCCACAACTTTATCTCGTGACGTTATCGAAACAATTCAATCATTATTGGATGATTCTTTCCAATTAGCAACATTTGTTTATGTACCATGCTTCCATTGTATATTTTTATCATTACCCCAAACTTATTATTTCCCATTAGAAGTTTGTGAAAATGCCGCTGTAAAAGGTACTGGTTATCTCAAATGTCTTACCTACGATGCCAATGTCAGAACCGATTTGTTAGTTCCCGATCTAGTAATGTCAAATTTCACTGGTGCCAAAATTCCATTTGACCAATTAAAGATTGAAGAAATGATAGGTGAAGGTGGTGCTGCTCTTGTATATCGTGCAAAATGGCAAGATCAAACCGTTGCTGTTAAAAAATTAAAAACTATAGAAAATTTAGATTCTCCAATCGAAATTAACGATATTTCACTCTCCAAAGCTTTCAATGAATTCCGTAGAGAATGCTGGGTAATGTCAGAGCTCGAGCATCCAAACATTGTGCAATTAAAAGGTTTATGTTTAGACCCACTTTGTATTGTTACAGAATATTTACCATGTGGTAACCTTTATAGCTTCCTTCATAAACCTGAATTCGAAGCAAGTTGGCTTTTTAGATTAAAAGTTGCATTGGATGTTAGTAGTGGTATGGCCTTTCTTCATTGCAGTACTCCACCAATCATTCATAGAGATTTAAAATCACCAAATATTCTTTTAGCCTCCATAGATGAAAATTCACCAACATTAGCTAAAGTTGTAGATTTTGGTTTGTCAGGTCTTCAACATACCATTACAAATAGAGGTGTTGAAAATCCATTATGGCTAGCTCCAGAGATTTTAAACAAGACTAAAGAAGCCTCTACCCAAACTGATGTATATGCATTTGGTGTTATCCTTTGGGAATTGGTAACAAGAAAAGATTATTTTGGTGAAATTGGTTTCATGACATTAATAGAAGAGAAGGTTATTGCAGGGGAACGTCCAGAAATCCCATCAGATTGTCCTGAACTTTATGCTAAATTAATTAGAGATTGCTGGCAAAATGATGCATCTTTAAGACCAAAATTCACAGAAATTGAAGATAGATTAATTAAAATAGCAGAATCAATGTTCCCAGATTTACACTTTTCTAGTATTTACCAAATTCATTCTGATCCAACATCCCCACAATTCCAACATAATCAACAACACCAATTAAAATCATTAAATTTATCATCGCTCGACCAAAATCCAATCGATAATGAAATTCTTTCGCCATCAAGCAGCAATTTTTCAATGTTAAATACACCAAAAGATAACCAAAGCGATATTAGTGGTCCAATTTCAGCAAGTCACAAAAGACAATTATCAAGTGACAGTACCGGCAGTTATCGTAATAATAGATCAACTCATGATACAATCAGTCATTCCACAAGCATTGCATCAGATTTAATCGATATTGATAATACTCTTACAGCTCCTATTACACCAAGAAATAGATCCAAAACCAATGAAGATGCAATTATATCTAGTATTAAATTAACAGATTCGCCAGCATCATTAGAGGGTAATGGCAATAAACCACAATCCGCACGTTACCATCACCATAATCACCAGCATAACCACTATCCAATACAGCACTCACAATCTCAACAATCGATCGACATGGCTTCATTAATTGATGCTTTACCAAGTTTAAATAATAATAGTGGTAGTAGCAGCGGCGTAAACTCACCTAACCAAACCTCATCATCAACTCCAGCAGGTAAAAAAGTTATGTACATGTCAAATAATAGAAGAGGTTCAATTTCGATTCAACCATTCCACAATGAATTTAATAGGGAACTACTTCCTAATCAAGGTACCATACAATGTTTAATCAAAATTTCAAATAGTTCGGTGTGGGCCGGTACAGGTAATGGCTTTATTTCGACATGGAAGATCGAAGGTCCAGAGAAATACATCCAAAGAATTTTCGAAGCCAACAAAGATAAAAAACGTATTCATTGTTTATATCCATACATGAATACTGTTTGGTGTGGTTCTGCCGATGATACAATTACTGTATGGGATAGTGACACTCTCCAAAAAATTAAAACCTATCCAGTCCAGGGTCCAACATGTATCACCAGAGTTGGAAATACTATGTGGGTCGGTACTACCGTAAATACTATTCATATTTATGATTTAAAAAAGAAAACAAAGTATAAAGGTAAAATCTCATTAGATGGTCCAATTGAATGTCTTTTAAGAAGAGATCAAGAAGTTTGGGTTGCAGTTTTTGGTAATATTGCTAGAGTCGATATCAATTCATTTAGAGTTGTTCAAATGATTAAAGCTCATGATAAAGCAATTCATGCCATGATCGAAGTAGATGGACAAGTTTGGACCTCTTCGTCGGATGCATCAATTAAAATTTGGAACTCCTCATGTCAATTAGTACAATCAATACCTAACGCCCACAGTAGTAGAATTTTCACTCTAGAGTTGGTTGGTGACTTTGTTTGGTCTGGATCATGGGATACAACTATCAAAATTTGGTCCAGTAAAGATTATCATATGGTTAGTGAAAATTCAGGTAAACATAAAGACGCTATTAGTAGCTTTGTATATATTTCAAATGATCAGCTTTCAACATCACAACAACCAAATCAACAACAACAACAATCACCACAACAACCAAATATACCTAGACAAGTTTGGTCAGGTTCTTGGGATTCATCAATATGTGTTTGGACATTACCAAATGATTATATTAGCGCAGGTGGAAGAAATAACACACTTTATTCTTCAGATAATAGTGTAAATAATAGTATCAGTATTCATAGTAGCAACGGTAGTGTTATTAACAGCCCAAATTTCCCTCCATCACTTCCACATAATCCATCATCATCCTCAATATCATCAACAACATCAACAAACTCTACAACAACAACAACAACAAATAATAACAACTTAAGCACAATTCACGAAACATCACCACCATTATCATCAACCCCTCCACATGGTTCAGCAACAATAGGTCCAGCTACCAGATCTCAATTAGCTAGAAGAACTGTATCTTTTGTTTTTGATAAGTTTAATAAAAATAAAAATAACTAATACAAAACATTACAAATAAATAAAACTATGCTTTTGTGTAAATAGAAACTAGCTTTAAATTAAATTAATTTTATTTTATTTCATTTTTTATTTTTTAAATATTTGTTTATAAAAAAAATAAATATCATAATAATTTTTTTCTATGTGAAATCAAATGGTTTTTTATTTGTTTTAAAAATATTAAATTAAAAATATTTTTTTTATAATTATAAAAACTATTACATTATTTGTTTTGGTGGTTATTTTTTATTTTACTTTTATTGTTTTTTTATTTATTTATTATTGATTATAATTTATAATTTTTAATTTTAATAAAAAGTTGGTATGGTAAAAAAATAAATAAAATTATATATTATTATTTAAATTTGTTTAAGGAATTTTTTCTAACATATTTAAAATTTCGCTAAATGAAGGTCTTTTGTGTGGGTCCTGATGCCAACAAGATTGAATTAAATGAGATAATTGATATGGCCAAGCATTGGGGATGGGTGGACGTAAACTCTTTGTAGTAACAGCCAAAGCTAATTGAACGCTATCTAAACCTGAATATGGAAGTTCTCCAGTTCCCAGTTCCCAAAGGATAATACCAAAAGCATAAACATCAACTTTTTCTGTATAATCTTCGCCCATTAATAATTCTGGGCTCATCCAAATTGGTGAACCAATTGATTTTGTCATTTCTGTGGATTTGCTCTTTAGTTTCGAGAGACCAAAATCACAGATTTTTATGTTCATATTTTCATCCAAAAGTAAATTTAAAGATTTGATATCTCTGTGAATGACACCCGATAAATGTAAATAATTCATACCTTGAGCTATTTGAAGTGCCATTTTCTTGTAGAGTTGCATATTCATCTTTATCTTTTTCGAATGTAAAGCATCATATAGTGAGCCACCTGGAAGATACTCGGTTACAAAACATAAATTTGGTGGTGTTGTGCATGCTGCCATTAATAATACTATATTTGGATGTCTAAGCTTACTAAGAATAGTCAACTCTTTTCTAAACTCTTCTAAAACTTGATTATTTACATCTTCATTAATTTTGATTTGTTTGATTGCAACTGAACTACCTCTCCATAAACCCTTATATACAACTCCAAATGTACCCTCACCTAATTTACTTGCAATCTTTAATTCAGCAAATGAAATCTCTATATCTGAAAAATATTGTTGCGGTTGTTCTTGTTGTATTATACCGCCACTATTTTTTAATAAATTATTATTATTATTATTAAATTGATTATTAAAATTATTTATTAAATTTTGATTGTTATTTGGGCTATGATTATTTATAATATTATTATTGGGATTATTATAATTATTACCATTATTAAAATTGTTATTATTATTATTATTAAAGTTATTAAAATTATTAAATATATTGTTTGGATTATTATTGTTGTTATTATTATTATTTTGGTTTTGGTTTTGATTTTGATTTTGGTTTTGGTTTTGATTTTGGTTTTGATTTTGATTTTGATTTTGGTTTTGATTATTTTGATACTGCTGTATATTATTTATTAATGTACTATTACTTAATGGACTATGTTGTTGTTGCTGTTGTTGCTGTTGTATTATATTAAAATTATTAAAATTATCTAAAGGACTATTATTATTACTTGTATCTTCGAAATAAATAAATGGATATTGTGCTTGTTGATGGTTGTCTGATATTTCATCAAAATCAGATAAAAATTGGTGTTGAACTTCGATAGGAGGAGATGATTGATTTAATTGTTGATGTTGTTTAATTAAGCTTTCAAAGGGTATTATATTTAAACCAATAAATTGCACAAATTCATGAAAAGGAAGAGTTGAAAGTGGTAATAAATTTGCATTGGCACCAAAAACAGAAAGTTTTAAAGTTGGAACACCACCAGTTTTATCTTTAATCGAATTGAATACCTCTATTATATGAACAGCTTGTTGAGGAGAGAATTTTCTTGTATTTACATTATGTCCAACTAAATTAATTTGACGGAGTATTGGGGGTGTTGTATTTCTATGTCCACCACTGTTACTGTTACCATAGATTATAGATTTACTGTAAGAATATGTTTCGACCAATTGCTTAATATTCAATCCCAATGGTGAATGGGATGGAAGTGAGTTGGGGTACAATAAACCTAATGAAAATAAATACTGAGATGTTGGTGGTTGAGGTAAATCTGGATACAAATTTGATATATATTTTACAAGTTGTTGAAATGAATTCAAATATCCTCTTCCCTCGTCCAATTGTGTAAAAAAATGATAACAAAAATAAATTTCTTCCCATGATAACTCTTTATAAGACCCAACACTCATATCTACATTTGATAAGCTAAACTCTTCGAAAGAACTATTTCTTTGATGATGACCTCTTAAAAAATTTATATTTTTTTGTTGTATATTATTTTGATTTTGATTATTATTATTATTATTATTATTATTTTGATTATTATTTTGATTATTATTATTTTGCAGTATTAAATGATTTATATTTGGTGATAAACCCCCAAAATTCTGTTGCTGTTGTTGCTGTGGCTGGTATTGTTGATTAAATCCGTTATTATCATCATTTTTATTCATATTATTATTATTATTATTATTGTTATTATTATTATTATACCCAATAGGTATTGGTGCTATTACTGGACTTGAAGAACTGTAGAATACATTTGGCACTAAATAAGGTTGGTGTTGGTAATAACCTCCACCTTTCATTTTCTTCCTATATTTATGTGTTTGTGTGAGTTTTATTAAAAAAAACTATTTACTTATTATTATAACTATTATTATTATATTGTGTTTTTATTAAATTTTATATTTCATAATAATTTTTATTTCCTAATACCACACACAAAAAATTAGAAAAATTTAAAAATTATTATATAATTATTAAATTGTAATTTGTAATACTGTTATTGTAACTATTGATTTTTTATTTTATTTTTTTATAAAAAAAAAAATAAAAAATAAATATTTTAATATATTTGTATTATTTTTAATTTACTATTATTATTATTATTATTTTTATTATTATTGTTTTTGTTATTACTTTTCTTCTACTGCTATATTTGTCAATGTAAAAATTGTATTATATTTATTATTTTAGCTGTATTTGAAAAAATAATTAATAATGGTCTAAAAACTGGATATAATAAAAGATTAAAGTATTTTTAAAATTGTTTGTATAAAAAAAATTAGTCTCTTTTTCTTAAGATATAATATTATAGAGTGAATGAAAAACTAAAAATAATAATAATAATAAACAAAGCTATTTTTTGTATGGATGGGAGTATACGATATTTTGTGTGTGTTATTAAATTGATATTATTATAGAATGAATTTTTCATAACATTTATTTATATATTAAATTTAATTAATTTTAATACACTATTTAAATTAATAAATGAATAAAAAAAACAAAAATTATTTTATATAAATATACTGTAGATAAATTATTATTTTATTACTTTTATATTAATTATGAATAAATTTATATATAATAAAATTTTGATTTGATATTATAAATTTTTAAGAAAAATATATAAATATATAAATAAATAAATATTTATATATACTGTTCCCTCTATACATACAATATAATTGATAATAATATTATTATAATTATTAATATGATATAAATAAGTAATGTAATAATGTGTGTAAATATATTAAATTGAAAAAAAATAAAAATAAAAATAAAAATAAAATTAAAAAAAAAATTAAAAAATTAAAATTTTAAAATTGAAAAAATACTATATGTT